GCAGGAATGATGTTATTTAAAGCGACACAGAGCAGATCCAAACCTTGTTGAGGAGCAGGCAAAAGACAATAAAAGCCCAACTTTTTCCCCCAATCCACTTCCCAATAAATCTAACTATGGCCACTTCTGTGAAACAACTGGGACTCCAACCTGGATCCTAAAGACACTTAGGCTTCAGCAGCACCAAAAAAATCCCCAACCCTGGAGATGTAGCTGCCTGTCAAGATCTGTCTAGGAAAATAAAATACCACACACAGATACCACGTTCTTTTGCTGAACCACCGATGACTCACCGACGGCATGTCTTAGCCCACACTGGCGTTATGTATCCCCTAGATCCTCTCCCCTCACTCAGAAAGATGCTTCTCTCCCCTCACTCAGAAAGCTGCTTCTCTCCCCTCACTCAGCCCTCTCTTTGCTGGTGCCTTTCTGACTCTAAATTAAGCAACTACCTTTTTATAGGAGACACATGATCATCATGTGATTCTTAATTGGCAGAACACACCCAAATCTCTTAGAAAGCAGACAATTAGGCTATATGTAGTTCCTCTTATACAACCGCTTTCTGGTTTTACTGTATTTTTTCAAGAAAAAATAGTAACACTCTCAGTTCTAAAATGTAAGTTGAAATGAGGACCGCTGAAGCATACTATATCAGGCTTTTCCCTCTCCTTTGTTAAGTGGGGTTTATCCACCTCTTTGCCTTGGTTTTCTAGTAACCTTTGTTTTCTGACAAGACTTTGGTTTGAGAATTACGTTCGACTTTGTCACCCTTTTCTCCTTTAAAGCCGTTTGTGTGTATATCACTTGAAACACTTGAACCAAAATTGAAGGCAGAAAAATACCTTCTGTGTAACCTGTACAGCTTCTCAGATAAGATAATCAGATTGCACAAACAGTTTGACTTTAAACATATGTTTTGCAAATGTTACCTTCCTTTCTAATATATTTAGCTAGGACCTGGAATTCGAAGTTAGCAAATGGCATTTCCATGCAACTATGAGACAAAAAAAAAGATGAAAAATAAAATTTTAAAAATTCTTCAGCTGACAAAAATTATTTCTAGACATATATTTTTTAAAAGCTCACTACTAACCTCGTGAAAGAAAAGTCAGTCAGAGTGTATGTTTTTCAAAAAATGCTAACATCAAGGACAACATCCCCCATATTACCACGGACTCTGTGAGCTGGAGGTTGTCATTCTATTCCATTGCACTGCCTGGAACAGTCTGATCACCCAGATCATCAGTGAAAGAGAAATAAATGTAAACCAGCGTAACAAATTATACACTGTGTATTTTTTTCCGCAGAGTAAATCTTGATTTGATTATTCAGATAAATATGTTCCGTATATGAATAAAAACACACTCAACATTCAATCATGTCCACGAGTGAAGTATAATTGAATATTAATTTTAATGAACTACACAAAAATAGTCGCTACTCAGATTTTGGGCCAAGAAGATTTCAGAAGAGAGTACTGAGCCCGCTAACTTTTTCCTTCTTTTGTAACTAGGTGCACTAGAAAGTCACTACAGAAACTAGAATGAAAATGCTTTCGGTTTCCAGAAGTAACCTGCTCTTTGGCCCTGTCCGCAGCCGCAGCTTAGAATGAGGAAGGCAGATCAAATGACAAGTTGCGGTTCCTCCTTTACTGACTGTTTCTTATCCCATTTTCCGGAGCACAAATGAGATAAGAGAGCAATGACTTGACTTAAGTAATTTAAAATCCTTTGTTACTGTTCCAATACATCTCTGTTTAAAAGAAGAGAACCACATGTGTCAAACTTCATGCCCAGTTTCCTGACCTTTTTAGTTAATTATATCAGTCTTTCCAGCCCTAGTTGGCTTAAGTTGGCAAATCTGGGTTACAAAAACCCTCTCAAATCAATAACCTACTTATAACATTTTTCCACTGAACATCTTCAGTTTAAAATAAAAATAGCCTAACTGCAGAAAACCATATATCATTTTAGAGTTCAAACTGAACCAGTATTAATAGAAGACGACGTGTGAAAACGGACGTTATTACTTAATCTGTCAAACTCCAAGTTTTTTCTTCAGCTTCTCTTGAATCTTTGGCCTTCATAGGATGGTTGAAATTCAAAATAAGGTCACACAGCAGGAGCTGGCTTTCCACTGAAAGACAAAGGGCAGTGTATCATCAGGGTGTTTGTTGAACGGCACATGCTAAGTGAACGGCCATTTATACACAGCAGTTTTTGAAGTGCTCACCTACCAACTCTTCCAAAAATTTGAAGGGCTGCCTTGTTTACTTCAAGACAATTAAACAAATGTTGGTATTAGCACACTGGTAATGTTTCTGTAGAGACTCCTACTGTTCCTGCAAAGGCATAACTGTGAGTACCTAACAGCTTTTCCCATGGTTAGGTAACGTGATCCCATTTCTGCGTGACTACTGTTTCATTAATTTTTCAAAACAAGAGAGTAACCGTGTTGTTTCGTTAGAGTACAAACCACCTGAATGACACACAAACCCACGCCATCCACAACTGCACACTTTCTAAACAATGCCTGCAGCAGCTTCCCGTTTAGCTGTCTGATGAACTCAGGATTACCATTCAGTTTCTTCAGCTCATTGGACATTCTGTCAACATTTTTAATCGCAGCTTCAAGGTTAAACTGCCCATTTTTGAACACCTGTATGAAACAGAAACCAAACACAACTGGCAGTGTACATACGATTCACAAACTCAGCAATCCAGCTAATCTCAATCTTGATGACATTTTTTCTTTGATTTTCTAAAATAATATTATAATAAAACTTCCCCACTTTTACAATTACCCACTTAGATACGGCAAATTGCAACTACCAAAGGCAACTACTAAACACTCAGGTATTAATATGTTTTCTGTTCCTTTTTTTTTTACAAACAACTGCAATGAAATGAAATTAATCGTAACTACAATTTCCTCACCAGTATTGTTTTCATTTTTGGTTTTGACCTTACCTTTCCCACAGAATCTAAATGAAAATGAATCAAGTAATATTCAGTCAACCACAAGATGGAGCTATTGTGACATTAAGATGCATAAAAGCCATTACTATCACTATTAGCACTGAATATTAATGAATCTGCTAATACATACCCAGGAACATTTATGTCTATATAGATAATTCTTTTATAATAAAAATATTTTTGCTTATTTTAGAGATCATATTCCCTCTCTTTAACATTTGAATAAAAACCAAAATCTGGAGACAAGATTAGAAACCATTTGAAATTAAATGTAATTCGAACTTAAAAATTCATCCTACACTCTTTTTTAGGATTTTTTTCTTAGGAAAAATATTAAAGAAAATCACATCTATCATGTTTTCTGGCCTAGTTATAAGCTCTCTTTTTATCATTCATAAATTCTAAAAATAAAACCTTAAAAACCTCTGGGTGATTCATAAATAACGCTCCTTATGTAGAACACCTCAGCACACTGAGAAATACAACAAAAAAAATGAACATACATTTAACATAGGTTCTTTGTCCAACTCTCTCTTCCCTTCGGACAGTGGCTTTGCATTGAGGTCATCAACCAGGGCCAAAGATCCTGAAAGGAAACCCCAGATTATTACAGAGTAATATGTATTTTTAAAAAATATGTATATATATGTATATTTCTCATATGAAATATATGATTACTTTTGATAAATATAATGACTATACCTTGTTTTCGTTAGTGTCATTTGAAAGTAGAGTCTAAGGGGTCGAATAGTTTTAATTCGTCTTCAAGAATAAAATCTTTGATTTTATTTATTTTACTTTCTTTTAGAGACAGTGTTTCAGAATTTTTTTAGGAGTTAAACATGGAATTACTAATAGTGAATAAGCATATTTATAACAGAGATGAAGAATTCCTCAAAATTCTGTATTTTTTTAAATTGAAAATTAAAAAGGCACTGTGATCTGTTTCTGTCATCAGTTTATGGAAGGAGAATGTAAAGCACACACACAAAAAAGGTCAAGTGTTGAACGTCTGCTGGTCAGTAACAGAGCTGAGATTAAATACCAGATCCCTGGGCTTTTTCTTCCCCCATGGTCTCTGCTCTTCTCTCCTTGTGTATTAGGACTCCTTCAGGCAAGTTTATGACGTCACTGGAAAGCTGTTTCAATGCTGAGAAGGGAAAAAAAAAGGGTTTATTGGTTTATTTCACCCTGGTACTGTGCGTGCTCAGAAAGGGCGCAATGACACGAAAACGACCCTGCTCTTGGCTAAAGGGGCAGACAAAGGAGCGTGCTCCTCCTGTTGCCCCCCGAAATGGCCTGCAAAGAGAGCAAGGCCCCAGTGGCGATGGCGGCTGGGACAGCGCGGGGCTCAGGAAGAGGCACCTCCCCAGGACTGTGCCAGCCCTGATGTGTCCGTGGGCCACTGGGAAGTGCCAGCCCCGATGCCCCATGGGCCACCAAGAGGCGTGCAACGAGGGAGCCCCCCAAGGCTGGCGGATCTCCCTGTTCCCTGAGGCTGCCCTGAGCAAGCAGCGGGGCACAAGGGTGCCTCGCAGGAAGGCCCAAGGACTGAAAGAGAGCGATGGCAGCTGCCTCCCAGCCTGGCCAGGCCGTGGCGGCAGCACTCGGTTGTCGGGAGCGCTTCACGGGCAGGCACGCTGGCTGAGCGCCAGAGCCAC